AAGCATGTAATCTGTGGCATTTAAGATTAGGTCATCCTCATTATGAGGCTCTCAAATCTGTTCTTCAACAGTGTAATATTTCTTATATCAATAAAAATGCAGTTGATTTTTGTTCTGCTTGTTGTCTTGGAAAAGCACACAGACTACCTTCTTCTTCTTCCACCACTATATATAACAAACCCTTTGAACTTATATTCACTGACCTATGGGGACCTGCACCATTTGTGTCCTATGATGGCTATTCTTACTATATAGCCTTTATAGATGCCTTCACAAGATTCACTTGGGTTTACTTCCTAAAAAGAAAGTCTGATGCTCTTCCTGCATTCACTAATTTCTATAACTACATCCTCAACCAATTTTCTGTCTCTATCAAATCCTTTCAGTCTGACTGGGGAGGTGAATTCAGGTCTTTTACCCAATTGTTATCTGAAAAAGGAGTCACTCACAGGATCATTTGTCCACACACACATCATCAAAATGGTGTTGTGGAAAGAAAACACAGAAATATTGTTGAAAAAGGTCTAGCACTCCTCTCCCACTCTTCACTCCCACTCAAGTTTTGGGATGCAGCCTTTGCTACAGCAGTTCACCTCATCAACAGAACACCCTCTACATCCCTTTCCAATCACAGCCCTTACTTCAAACTATATGGTTCTGTACCAGATTATTCCTTTCTTAAGGTTTTTGGTTGCTCCTGTTACCCATTCATCCGCCCTTATAATAAACACAAACTTGGTTTTCATTCTGAGGAGTGCATTTTCCTTGGATATTCCTCTGCTCATAAAGGATACAAGTGTCTTTCTCCTTCAGGAAAAATATATCTCTCTCGAGATGTTATTTTTCATGAATCCAAGTTTCCTTATTCTTCCCTTTTTCCCTCTACATTATCTTCACCATCTGCTACCCCAATACCCACATCTCTTCCCATTTCTATTGCCCATCCAACCAAATTGTCCACAACCACTTCCTCTGAGTCCTCTACTTCCAGTTATCAAAGTCAATTTTCTTCTGAGTCTCCTCCTGAGTCAGATCATCAAGGATCACACTCCTCATCAGAACAATCTACTCCAGTTACCTTACCTACTGCTAATACTCAAGTCCCCTCTCCTACTCCTTTAGTCTCTTCCATTCCAGTTACTAACACCCACCCTATGAGAACAAGAGCAAAATCAGGTATAGTTAAACCAAGACTTAATCCAACCTTACTGTTAGCTCATACTGAGCCTACCTCAGTAAAACATGCTTTATCTTCTCCTCATTGGCTTGAGGCTATGCAGTGTGAGTACAATGCCCTCATTTCTAATAACACCTGGTCTCTTGTGCCTCTTCCCCCAGATAAACAAGCCAATAAAGCCATTGGCTGCAAATGGGTGTTTAGAGTGAAAGAAAATCCTGATGGCTCTTTGAATAAATATAAGGCCAGACTGGTGGCCAAGGGTTTTCATCAAAAATTTGGCACTGACTTTGGAGAAACCTTTTCTCCAGTTGTTAAACCTGTAACAATCAGAATTCTTCTTTCTCTTGCTGTCTCAAACAAGTGGTCTGTTCAGCAATTGGATGTCAATAATGCCTTTTTAAATGGTGAAATTGATGAAGAAGTTTACATGGTGCAGCCTCCAGGATTCCAAGTAAAAGATACTTCTTTGGTCTGCAAGTTGCATAAGTCTTTGTATGGACTTAAACAGGCCCCCAGGGCTTGGTTCCTCAAACTGACCTCGGTGCTATACAAAGCTGGCTTCAAGCAGAGTAAATCTGACCCTTCTCTACTCATCTATCTATCTTCTGGCATTCAAATATACATCTTGATATATGTTGATGATATTTTGGTTATTGGAAACCAACCTACTGCTGTGCATCAATTGATTCACACACTTGACTCATCCTTTTCTTTAAAGCATCTGGGTGACCTTGATTTCTTTCTGGGCATAGAAGTTCACAAGTTGTCTAATGGCAGTCTACACCTCTCTCAAGCCAAGTACATAAAAGACTTACTCCACCAAACTGGCATGCTTGACTCCCGTTCAAAGTTGTGAAATTCAAGACCCTCTCCTTCCCTCGTTTGACGGCGAAGACCCTATTGGGTGGCTGGCGAGAGTGGATCAGCAATTCGAGCTCAACGGGACCCCACCAGACAGACAAGTTGCAGCGGCTAGGGTTTCTATGGAAGGGGTTGCCCTTTATTGGGTGACTTGGTTGAAGGCGCGCAAACCCGACATGTCCTGGGAGGAATTTAAGCAAGCCTTGGTGGCCAGATTTGATTCCCGATATCAAGGAAACAGGTTTGAACGGTTGTCGGGCATCAAACAAATAGGGTCGGTGGAGGAGTACAATACCTTGTTTGTTCAATTGGCTAGCCAAGTTCCGGGATTGACTGACGATCATTATATGGGCTATTACATGAGTGGACTTAAAGAGGAAATCCGAAGTTCGTTGCGCTTATTACGGCCAGATAACCTGGAGACGGCCATGGAATTAGCTCGTGATGTGGAGCATAATCTGTCCGTCCAAAATGGAGGTAGTGGCAGCCCGAATTATAATTCTTCAGGGGTACGTTCCAGTAGCTTTTTAATGGAAAACACGAGTCCTCCGTTGACTGCCAGTGGTGGCGGCTTACAAGGATCAAGGGGCATCTTTGCGAAAGATAGTGGACAGCCCCCGGGGACGAAGTCAGGGCTGTCCGGGCAGCCTACGACACGCTCTGAGTTCACTCATCTTGCACCAAAGGAGTTAGCAGAATTGACTGTCCCTTTAAGCAGCTGCGGGTAATGATAGCTGAGGAGGATGAAGAATTGGACCTTCAACAACATGAGTACTCTGAAATAACCGGTCAGGAAAGGGTTCAGGAAAGAGATGAAGGATATTTTCCAGTCTATTCTATGTCTGGAAATTTTTAGTCCCCCGTCTGCGAGATTTCAACCTTGAGGACAAGGTTATTTTGTAGGGGGATGGATTGATAGAGAGCGGGAAGAACATGGGGCGGGACTGGGCTTGGGCCCACTTTCGTGGGCCGGGTTAGGGCTGTCTTTATAGTTATTTATTATTATTAAGTTAATGTTATGTTTTGATTTGGGCCTATTATTAGTAGAGTACTTAGTAGAAGTAGTATGAGCCTAGTTAGGATTTAATTAATTTAGGCTTGATTAGGGTTTCTTGTGGAAGGCTATTTATACCCCTCGCCAGGGTTCATTCTTATTATATTGGAATAAAGTTGGCTCTGGGCAACGGTATTTTTATCGTTGATTATCTGGGCAACGGTTCACCCCGTTGATTTTATTTTTCTGCTTCATAACATACCGTACTTCAAAGTTTCTTACTTCTTTGTGTACCCCTCCATCTCCGCGTTTTTCAAATTTTATGCATTTATGCTTTCGAGACTCCTTTAGATGCCCATGTTTTTACCCCAACAATGCTCAAATCCTCCACGTGGTTCCTACAAATCAAAATATTGCACAAGTAAAGCGAAAAAGGGATGAAAATCAACAAGTTGACCAACAATGACCAAAATCTATGACAAAGTATCAGACTACCAGGTGTTTCACACCTATCAACAATGCTATTTTTGGGTAGTACAACATGTTAATTAAACTCTGCCATGTTACCATTTTTTGGTATCATAGCTGTCCCAAATCAGGATAAAGATGGTGTTGTGGTAGGCACGTGATGGTCAATTGTATAATGTAAGTACATCACATGATATGAATCAAAATATAAATATCGTTATAGGTAGGCCGCCGCCTAGAAGCAACATGTCATCCCTTCGACTTCCGAAGGAGGGTGGTGTCATATATGCAAGGGCACACTACACTTCATAGGCCTGACTGCCTGAGAGTTATGATAAGTATGCTTAGGTTGCAAGCTCGTCGTCCGGAAGCTACGCACATGATAATCCATATTTTATCTCTGATTTCATATGTCGATTCATGTTAGCCGACCTCCCTTGGGACTAAGACCTTAACGTTGTTGTATGGGGTGTTAGTTATTTCCAACCTTGAATAAAAGAGTAATCTCTTCTCCTAATTTATCTACTAATTTATTACTTGGTAAGTTGTGCGTCCCTAGTTTATCTATAGGATATGCAAACAAACTCTCACAAAAGTTCAGAATACCAACAGTGCTTCATTTTATTTTACTTCTCTTCCAATTAATTTGTACACAAGCTTTTAATATAATCAAGTTTGCTTTCTACAAAACTACAAATCTGAACAAAAACAACCATCATTAATAATATTAGTAAAAATTAGAAGAACTTAACAGAAAGGTAGCACAATTAGCCTCCAACATCAAACCGCGTGAAAGGGTAAAAGACTGTCTGAAAACCTATTGCTATTCAAAAATGGGATTTTAGAATTAGCATTGCCTCTTTATCTCACAAAAAGGAATGCAAGAGTCACCGACACAATATTGAGAACCCCACTTACTGGGGAAATAATAGTTCTTGAAAGGGACACTTGATGGAAAAAATGAATTGATAAAAGAGGAGACTAACCTGCTTCACGAACGATTGTGTGACCAACAACAATGAGCAACTTTAGATTTGTTGTCACAACTTTAGTGAATGAAACCAGAAAGGTATGGATTAGGCTAAAGTGGGCTTAAACCCAGACTCTCACACTGTTACATTCAAATGGCCAGTCCTAATTACTGTAGTGCTACGAGCAGCTTAAAATGCACAACAGGACAGCTTATAGTACAATATGATAAACGACTAAACCATGATTAAGGACTAAATGATCAAATGAATACTTTGTGTAAAAATTGCATTTTATTGTATTATGTTAGGATTATTAAACTGATGCTGAACATCTTATTTTTGTTACTTTTACTCGGCAGCTTGAGAAGGCACATGTTTATGATGTCTGAGTGAGAAATTTGGAACTGAGTAGCCTTGGCTGTCATGATTCTTGTAGCCTATTTTTAAATTTTCTTTCACACATCTCTGAAACATAATTTATGATCTTGTTTCTGATTAGATTGTCATGATTAATACTCTGCAACAGGGTTTCCTATTCTTGGAATTGAGTGGCAAAAGATGGAAAATCCAGATTTTAGACTGTCAGTTGGAATGAAACCTAACCAGAAGGGTGTCCGGATAAAACGAATTGACCCAACTTCTCCAGAGTCTAAGCTTTTAAAGCCATCTGATATAGTTTTAAGCTTTGATGGGGTTGATATAGCAAATGATGGAACAGGTAGATTTGGTGTTTATGTCTTATTGGGAGAATACATGTTTCATGTAGCATATGTGCAGATACTGAACTTGGTAACTTGTGATTATATGTTCTATGTTGCCTTGAAACTTTTCTTCACAATCTAAAAAGAACAACTGAGTGAGATTGTTAGAACTTAAAAATGCCATAAAATTATATTTATTCTAAGGTTGGTGGGTGCCATATTCAACCAAGAGCTTTCTTGACTTGTATAGAATTTTAAAATGACCGACTTTGGTAAATTCTAATATACTGAAGTAATCTTTATACATCTTAAGTAAAAGTCTATTACCTATTGTCACACATTAAAAGACTTTTATAGGGTAATGAAAAGCTCGCAAAAGTTAATCTCATATTGAATGCACCCTACTAGGATGTTCTTGCCGTATTTTATTATCTTCTTTCGTGGAAGTTTTTAATCTCATATATTTTTGTATATTCTACAAAAGCCATCTGAATAGTCCAATAGTAATGCTGATGGACTTATTTGAATGTGCATTTGACTGTTTGTGCCTGTTTTCTGTACATACACTGATGTACATATGTAACAAATGGAAACTCATATTCTTAGTCCTCAACAGTTTAATATGACGTGATGTTGGACATGCCTTTTAATATTTGTAAATTTAGTCTCTCCATTGTTATTTTGAATCCCGATAACCTTAATTCAGTAAACATTGGTTTTAAATTTTTAATGGGATGGAATTTTATCTGTTATAGCAATTGAGGGAACACGCAGATCTGTTTGAGAATTCAATATTAATATATCTTGTGCCTTATATTCAGTTCCATTCCGGCATGGAGAGCGGATAGGTTTTAGTTATCTTGTATCCCAGAAATACACAGGAGACAGTGCAGCAATTAAAATTCTTCGCAATCGTGAGACCTACACATTTAATATCGAGCTTGCAAGTCAGAGAAAGTTGATTCCAGCTCACAACAAGGGCAGACCACCCTCATACTACATTATTGCTGGATTTGTTTTTACAACAGTGTCAGTTCCGTACCTTCGTTCTGAGGTGCGTGTATGACTTCAAACTGTTAGATATGCTTATGAAGTATAAATATTCCGACCTACTGCATATTCGATGATATCACATGAATTTAATTCATAGCACCAACAGACAACAGATGGTACAAATCATAGTTACATAAATCGCTGGGAAGGTCACGATCTGCGAACCGAACGCTCCGTACGGAATCGCGGTACGAAAGCGATCCGGTCGCCACCTGGAACGCTAAACAGAACGTACTTCAACTCAATCCCAATCGCTTTTAGAAACGATCTTATTCACTGTTTGCATCGATTTCAAATGCTTTCAAACTCGATTGAAAACGAATCTCAGGTCATTCCTCAACTGTTTCCCCAGCGAACCCGTTTGTGAAGGTCCTTTCCCAAATTGAATCGTCGTTTGAAGACGAACGCGCAGATTTGAAATACGGTATTATTTGTACAGGTCGGCGGCTCTGCGCTTCGTTTTGTGGAATATTAATTAATGTTTTCAAACCAGGCTCTTCGTTTCTACTAACAGGCGCTACTAATTTGTTCTAATAGGTTTACGGAATATCAAACCAGGCTCTTCGTTTTCTGGAATATGAATTAATGTTTTCAAACCAGGCTCTTCGTTTCTACTAACGGGCGCTACTAATTTGTTCTAATAGGCATACGGAATATCAAACCAGGCTCTTCATTTCTAGAATATTAATTTGGAATATTATTGTTTTTTTAATTTTGTTTAATGTTATGACTTATGCTTATTAAATCTGTTTTTGTCTAATCTATGATTTATAAAATCTGTAATTCAGTTTTATTAAAGTACCAAAATATAAGGTACACTGTACCGAACATGTGGTACACCGTACCGAACGCGTACCGGAATGAGCCTACCCCCCTCCGAACCGGATACGCTAGACCTAGCGAACCGCGTTCCCGATCCTCGTTCCCGTACCGAATCGTTCCGCGAACTATGTGACTATGGTACAAATATTCAGTATCTTTGAAGTTTGACCTGTTTTTTACTTACCACTTAGGATGATTTCTTTTGGACTGAAATTTGCTGGTCTGGTCTGATCTGTTTAAGTCTGGTCTGGTCTGAACTAGTCTAGTCTGGTTTGGTAAACGTATGGTCTCTGTGTATTTTATAACTATGAAAGTCTGGTCTAATCTGGTCTGTTTAAGTTTGGTCTGTTTAAGTCTGGTCTGGTCTGGGACTGAAAACAGTCCAAAAGAAAACATCCTTACTGTTTTTATACTGAATCTATATGTCAGGACATCGCTGGTTGTTGGTTTACTTTTGAAGTTGCTAAATAATTATAAGCTTTAAATGCAATAGGCCATGCCTTTAGTATTCCAGTTTAGATACTTTGTGCTGCTGAAGGCACTTTTGTGTAAGTAATTAAGTGTATTTATGAAGCACCCCCCTCATGTCCTCTCCTTAACTCTTACAATTTACATCACCAGTATGGAAAGGACTATGGGTATGAAGCTCCAGTCAAGCTTTTGGATAAGCTTTTGCATTCATTTCCACAATCAGCGGATGAGCAAATAGTCGTAGTTTCTCAGGTTTTCTCAATGTTCTCTCTTCACATATTGTTATCCTTGATGTTGTCCGAGTAGTTTAATGACCATCCATTTGGCTTTTAATTGCGGAATCATGGAAGGTTCTTGTAGCTGACATCAACATCGGATATGAGGACATTGTCAACACTCAGGTTAGAGATATAATCGCATAAGTCAGGATTGATTTTGGCCTTTCTAACTATTCTAAGTAAATTGTAAACCACATTCCCACTTCATCTGTATAGTATATGTTGTATTCAGGTACTTGCTTTTAATGGCCAGCCTGTGAAGAACTTGAAGAACTTGGCATACATGGTAGAGCGCTGCAAAGACGAATTTTTGAAGTTTGACTTGGAATACCAACAGGTATGCACATTCATGTCTGCTAGGCCCCAAGTGTCCATTATCCTTTGACACTTTCATCTGTCTGTGTGTATTGAATGTAATCTGTGGAGAACCCATATAACTTTGTAGTAATATCTGCAGGTAGTGGTCCTACAAACAAAGACAGCAAAGGCTGCAACTTTGGACATTCTTACTACACACTGCATACCTTCTGCAATGTCTGATGATTTCAAGGAATAAGGTTTACTGTTGTTGAGTGCATCAGGCTCCTTCCCCTGGCTCAGCGGTATTTCTATACATGCATGTTTTGCTAAGCTTCCTTCAAACCATTTTGGAGCATCAGATTGAAGAAACCAAAGCTAGCAACTGATATTTTCTAGTATTTTTTTCTCTTCATGACTATTAGCCATTTCAGGATTGTCTGAAATATCGGAAGATTTGGTCTTAGATCACTGGAGAACTTTTAGAGTTAGTGGAGTTATATGCGTCGCTTTGTATTTTCAACCTGTACTGATTATTGAGAAACAACAAGAGAGAGCGAGAAAAGGGGGATTGTGCAGGCAGGAATATAGGAAAAGTTTAGTTTTTTTTGGAAGAAGGCATGGCGTGATAGGTAAAGATTCACATATTTGCGTTCTTGTTTAGATTGTTGTTAACCATCATGTGGATGCTTTTCTGACAACCATTCAATGGACTGCTTGCTGATAAATATTGCTTTACTAGTGTTTAAATATGTTTTCTAGATTCTTGATAACCATACATTTATGTGTGCACTCATAACAAGTTTAAAAGCGTTCTTTAAAGGCAATTAATGTACAACATGCATATGTTGGGAGACGCATCTTAAATAATTTATGGCCATTGGCCATAGGCATGGACCGGTTCCGGGCCGGGCTCCGGGCTGGTCCAAACCGGGCTTTTTGTTTGTTGGTTAAGGCCTGGAACGGGCTCGGGATTCCACCAGGACTGGGCCGGGCTTGTGTCGGGTTATATTTTTTTTATTTAGCTTTTCTAATTAATTCCCACCCCCCATCAAACACCCGGCCCAACCCGCCTACCACCAAAAAGATTTGAAAAAACAAAAAGAAAACATTTTGGGCCCGGAGCGCGCCCGGCCGGGTACCAAAGGAGGTGCAGCCTGGAACCGCCCCCAACAATCCCCCGGGCCGGTCCTAGGCCTGGAATTGGTCCCGGTTAACCGGGCCGGTCCGGTTCGACACAGTGGCGGTCTGGTCCGGTTTTTGGGCCGGGCAGACCGGAACTGGGCCACTCCTAATTGGCCATTGGTTAACTCAAGGATTTTAAAGATCACCAATGGGTGGTTATACGCTTGTATAATACGTGCTCTGCATAATTCATTTTGTTATATATTTACGCTGTTGGAATTTGTAGAAAAACTATCTTTAGCCCGAATGTTCGCTTCTTGGAGCTAGGCCTGGACTCTGGCCAAGTGGCCCGACCCGGAACCGGCCCGAACCGGCACTGTTCTGGCCCGGCCCGACTCGGTGGCCCGGTCAGTGACCGGTTCGGGTAGGCCCGACCCGCTGGAGTTCCGGTCTGGGCTCGAGCCCCTCAAAACGTGAACTGGCTCGGCCGGTTCGGGCCCGGGCCATTTTATTTCTTTTTCTTTTTTTTTTTTTGAATTTTTTTTAAGTTTTTGGGTTGGGTTGGGTATTTTGGGTCATTTGAGATGGTTTGGGGGTGGGGGGGGGGGGGGGGGGGGGGGGTTAGGGGTTAATTAGGAAAAGGCAAAAAAAAAAAAAATGAACCGAGGTCCGGCCCGGCCCGGCCCGACCCGGACCCGGGGGTTACCCGAGCTGGTTCCGGGCCTCCCCTTTCCTGAACCGAGGCCCGGCCGGGCCCGAGTCCACCCCTGCTTGGAGCTCACATGGTTTTTTAGTAAAGAAAATGTTACCGAGTCAATTAGGAGTGCATGCGAATAGAATAGTTTTGGAAAATTTTCTAAAATAGAAGTAAAATAATGCGTAATTCTAAAATAGGAGTACTATGGGGGTGTTTGGTAAATAGCGTTTCAGCCGAAAAATAGCGGTTTGACCACTTTCAGCCATTGTTCTAAAAATCGGCCTAGGCGGACCGATTAATCGGCCTAGGCGGCCTAGGCGGCCCTAACCGTAGAGTTCTAGTCGGTCCAGTCGGCCAAAAAATCGGCCTAGTCGGCCGAAAAATCGGCCTAGTCGGCCGCCTAGGCGCTAGGCGCCCCTCTACCGCCCGACTAGCGCCTAGCGAGTTTTAGAACAATGCTTTCAGCGTTTTCGAAAAGTTAAACAACTGTTTGGTAAAGAGAGGTTCGACACTAGCATTTTTGGACGGAAAGGCTGAAATGAAAACGCTGTTAATAGGAGAGTTTTGGAATTCGTTTTGAAAAATGGCGTTTTCTACTAATTTTATTGCCAAACAGCTAAATTACCAAACATGTTCTGATAACCCGCCAATTTATTCTGTTGGTCAAACCCGCTAATCGAATCCGCTATTGACAACCCACTAACGTAACCAGTTATCCGCTAACTGCTAACCGCCGAATGCCAAACACGTCCTATATCTCTAAATAATAGTGCAATATTGACATTTGAAATAATAGTGTCATACTACTGTCATACTTTGTAACAAATGAATATATCTTTATATAGTGTGGTTTCATTGAGAACAAGACTTATAGGCATATAGAGAAAATGTGAGAATAGTCACTTTTATTCTATTGTCAAGTACAATGGAGCATGTCTATGCCCTTTTTAAGTTTGATCAAATCAAGTCAATATCAAATAAACATTGTAGCATTTTGGTAAACATTATGTCAACGTGAAAATGTGTATAACACTTCTGGTAATACACAGACTTCATTGTGGTAATACACAGACTTCATTGTGGTAATACACAGACTTCATTATGTATAACACTGAGGTAAAAGTATTTTCACAAGATAAGAGAACACATTAAAAATTTCTAGTATGATCAATATTTAATGAGAATGCATGACTTATGGAGTGAGCATAAAAAAATTTAAGACGAGCATTATACCAGTATGTATGGATAGGACATTTGAAATTGTCTACTGTAATGCTCATTTTAAAATGAGCATTGCATCAATATCAAATGAGCATAGATAACTGTTGAAAAAATTGTGTTAAAATTGTATTAAATGGTTAATTTAGGGTAGTATTTTGAGTGGGGTCCACTTCCGATTGGGGTTGGTCAAAGTGGTTTCAGATTTTCCTGGTTAAAAACTACAACTCAATATGTGATACACTCAAAACGAAAAATGGGTGTATGAGAAATTGTTTCTCGAAATTCACTCGTTGAAATGAAAAATTAGAAAATGATAGGTTTTAGTGTGATTTATACCACACCGGAAAATTCAATGGATTTTCATCCCCTTGTAAAGTTGATCCTCTTTGAAGGAGTTAAGATTCCTAGGTGGAAACACTCTTCACGTGCAGAGGGAGGGGGCACCGATCAAAATCCCGAAAATGAAGAAGAAAAACCGCGACTTGCGATCACGACTTGCGGACACGAATGCCGTCCGAAAATCTCTTACAAAGATACTATTTAATTTTGCTTTGGCCACGCACTAAAGGCAGATCTGTTCTGGTCACGCGCCTGGCAGTTTTTTGACACATTAATGCCCAACGTTCTGGTCATTTACGTCTAATGTTCGCCGGAACAATCGATTGTGTGCTCAAACGATTGTTCGTTAGCCACCGTATCCTGGGAAACTATCAAATCACACGGTACAACAGGGTGTATGATATATTTTTGAAATAAAATTTGTTCACCCCCACCCTAATGGCTTGCCATGTGGCAAGACAATTCGTAATAATTTGACAATTGTTTTAACCTTTTCATTTTTAATCCATTTTTTTAAAAAATATATCAAAATTTTTTATTTTTTAAAATCTTTCATATGGTACCAATATTGTATATAATTTTGTTTTTAAAATCCAACTAGACTTGAATATAGAGATAAAACCATTTTTGCCCAACTTTTTTTATATACAATATTGATATCATCGGAAAGATCTTCAAAAGTTATTACATGTGGAATTTATTTTTGGTGGGGCAAAAGATTCTAACCTATTATAATATCTGTTTTGTTAAGATCAATATCCTTGAACACTGAGATCAGATTCTATCCTGTGACCCCCTCTTTGGAAGTTTGACAATGATGTCATCAGACCATATAGTACTTGGTGTCTGATATTTTTATTTATATATAAATTTGGACAATAAATAAAAAAACAAATAAATTAAAAGAAAATAATGGGATGAGAAACCACATGGCAACAAATGAGAGAGGGGTGATGTTCACCATCCTACCAAAATTGCGCTCGTATATTTTGCCCAGATGCCATCCTTAGGGAGTGTTTGCGGTTGCTTAAAAAAAGCGCTTTTCAGCTTTTGGCTTAAAAAAAGTTGAAAAGAGTGTTTTCAAATGACAGCTTCTGCTTAAATTAATCACTTACAAGCTAAAAGCTGGAAGCAGGTAGAAGGGTGCTTTAAACTGCTTTTCACTTTTTCTATTACACAAAAAGCACTTATTTTACCAAACACTACCAACTTTTACTATTTTAGAATCACTTTTTTCTCAAACACTACCAACTTTTACTATTAATCACTTTTCCCAAAATCACTTTAAAAAATCACTTTTTTAAAGTTGAAGCAATTGCAAACACTCCCTTAGTTTTGAAGGTGGTCAACCCCTCGCTCATTTATATTCCGCGGCCTAGGCTTTTAATCGCATAGGAGAAGCCCAAAACTTCGTAGTCGGCCAGTGCCAGCTCCTAAGAGTCCGGCTTTCAGTCGAGAACAAACCAGACATCCAACGCCTTTCACAGTGGGCAATATGAAAGCTTGTTGTGGCGCCAAAGCTATGTGCCCTGTTCAGCAGCCTGTTTTCACAAGGGGGTGTCCCTTGACGATGAAGGGTTCTGGAGTATGTTCTAATTCCAGTAAAGTTAGGGTCTTTTCTGTAAGGCCCAGTAAAGTTGCCCTAGTTGAAGGCAGTTTAGCCACCGGGAGGCCGACCTCTTCTGTGACAGTGCCAGAGATTGGAGGCAAGCGCTTAAGATTCTTTTCCTTATACTATAGCAGTCGTTTGTGTATTTGAATATTTGTGTGTGTGGAGGTAAATAAATTTTGATTCTTCGGTTCCGTTATTTCTATCAAATAAACAGTAGGCTTAAACATGTTTTTAGATCCTACAAATTTGCACCCTTGCATTGTTTTTTTTTTTTTTTTGTAAAATTTTCTGTTTTTGGTAGCTCACAGCCCTAACAATCTAAGTTTTACAACAAAAAATGAGAATAATTAGTTTGTCATGTGATTCTAAGAATGTGTACATTTTATTTCCAAGAGGATCATTACAATTGGTTTTTAAAATGAGAATAATTAGTTTCACTTTGTTTTGCCTCCAAATGATGAATTTGAAACCTAAAAGAGTATAGTAGAGTTAAGCAATGGAAATTTGTTTTTTTTTTTTAAATTGAGGTTGTCCAAAGTTAGAGAGGGACTGCAAAAAGCAGTGTATATCACACAGTGAAGTCAATAGCCGCACTATAGCCGTGTAGAGGAGCGGTACCCAGGTGCTACTAGAGCCTCTTTAACAAGCATTTGACTGTAGCGGACACAGCGGTCATTATTGCAGGCACTATAGCAGTAGTAGTGGGCGCTATAGCAGGATTAGCAGCTATTGAACTTCTGAGTTGTCTGCGCTAGGTTTGGAGAATTTTGAGGAAATTTTTATTTTTATATTTTTTGGAGTGGTAAACT